GCTCTGGCAAACAGCAAATTTCACATAAGTCCTAAGCAGCAGCTTGATAATTAACACAGCAAAAACTTGCAACTTCAAAATAAAACAGTTTCTGCCAAAACATTTTGGTTTTGTGTATTTTTTTGCAGGGAGAGGTCGAAAGATCTTCTGGAGCAAAATTTTGCTGGATTTCAAAAGTTCCTTTTTTTGAAAAAAAAATCTTAAAATTAACATATATATATATATTTTTTTTTACAGATTGAGCTGGCCAAAACAAAATAAAAAACTTCTAAATCCAAAGATCTGGGTTCTGACAGCCTGGAGATCAGTGCCTTCAGCCAACAGCCTGGAGCCAGCCCTGACATCCCTGATGCTCCCTGGCATCCCTGCTGTCCCCAGCTTCTGCAGAGGGGGCAGAGGTCCCAGAGAGGTCCCAATTCCTTTTCCTGTCAGGACTTTTGTGTTTTTTTGGGAGGGAAGTGGCCTCGGAGGTGCGGAAAAGATATAAAAATCTGGGACATGCATTTTAAGGAAACCAGGCTGCTCACAGCTAAAAATAGCTGTGATTTCCCCTCTCTACTTTATTGCCACGAGGGCATATGTGATTATTGCTGATTTTGTTGTTGTGTTTTGGCTGCACCCAAAGCCTGGAGCGAGTGGCAGCCCTGGGAGAGCCTCCCACGTCCCCCTTGGCTGCCACAAACTTCCCTAAAGATGTGACAGCTCCACTGCTCAAGTGAACAGCCCAGCCCTCCTGCCCTTGCTGGGTTTGTGGCACTTCAGTTTGTAACTCAGTGATAACCAAGGCAGACACAGCATCCTGGGGATGGGGAGGCTCTGGAAGCAGGAATTGGGAAGCTCAGGAGTGGGCGCAGCACGGGAGCCACAGGGCAGCAGCAGAACTCACCAGGGATTCAGCTGAAGGGCAGTGCAAGAAGAAAATGAGGCAAGGGCACAGGGAGGAAGAGCAGCTGCAGCTCTGTGTGCCCATGGCAGTGGCAGGTGAACACCAGGAGGATTTTCTCTGCTCCCCAGCAGCTCCAGCCCTCCCACTTGACATCAAATCCCAGCAGTTTGCTTTGCTGAGCAGCAAGCTGGGATCTGACAGGGATCTGGGAACAGATCCCTGCAGGGGAATGCACAGGGAACCCCTCCTCTGCAGCACAGAGCCTCAGCATCAGCCAGGCCACCTCTGGAAAGGATGTGGAAAACCAGCAATAATCCAAATGTAATCTGTCCCACAAGGACAGCAGGAAGGAGCTGCACTCCTGCCTTCCTCATGTCAAAGCCAAGGGGGGCAGCAGCTCCTGTGGGACACTGGCAGGAGCAGAGGCAGGTCAGGGCAGCACCATTAACAGATCCTGATCCCATTAACTGATTGGGAATCCATAAGAGCATCCTCTGGCTGCAGGAGGGGCATCAAGGGCTCAAAGATGTGCAGAAAGGGAGAGGATGTGGCTGGGATTCCAGTTGATAGCAAAGCTTCCCTGGAACATCAGTCCTGCACATCTGCAAGGGGTAAAGCTGAAGATGGGAGAGAATTAAACCCAGGACAAGCAGCAGATCAGCTCAGATCCCAGGGAGCTGGGGATCATTTTCCCATGGCAGGTCCCAGCTGGGGTGTTTGCCAGGCAGCAGCACCATGGTCACTGTCCTGCAGGAGGTACCAGTGGACAGGGGCACACACAGTGTGTTCTTAGTGTTTCACTCTCCTTTTGCTCTCTAAATACAGATTCTCTTCTCCCTCCCTAATTCCTGACACGTTTGTTCCAGGCATCCATCCCTACCTACAATTCTTTGCCACGCCAAAGGATTTGGGTTAATGCAAATAAAAGGAAACTGTTTTATTCCACCTACAAATCTTCTTTGGCTCCCAGCTACGGGACTGTGGGGTGAAATCCAGCCCTGGAGGAAGCCAGAGAGCAAAAGCCTCTGTGCCAAGTGCTCTCTGCAGGATGGATTTGCTGCTGCTGCTGCTGAGAGATGCTCAATTCCCTGGCTTGGATATTCTGCTTGGAGGAAGTGCTGGGGGGGTGAGGCTGGCAGAGGAGAGCTGGGATGGAGCTGGGCACAGGGACGGGCACTCAGGGGTGGCAGCAGCCAGGAGGGTGCAGGAAGAGGGGACAAGGACAAGGAGCTGCCTCCTGGTGATGGCCAAGGGAGAAGGGAGCCAGGGAAGGGCTGGGAGCTGCAGCTGCACAGAATGGGCAGCGTGGGTGGGGGCTTCTCCACAAACAGAAAATTCATCAAAAGCAAACAAGCGAAATACGAGTTTCGAGGGACAGAAAGAATTCATGGCTTCGGGTCAAATTCAGCAAATATTTTTAGCCAGAAGAGGGAAGGCTCTAAACCACCATTTTTAAAATAAGATTTTTGTTCTGTAGTTCTCCAGATGAGAAGTTGTCAGTTCCTTCCCCAGTGAGGAGGTCTTGACCTCAAAGAGCAGAACAGCCAAATCGGAAGGGCTGGGTAACTCAACCCAAAATCTGCCAGGTTGGTCAGGATCACTTTGCTTCACTGAAACCTCCCAACATCACTGTTCCAGTTTCACTGAAACAATTTTCCTCTTCCCCATGGGATTTCTTGGTTCAGCCACAGAGCTGAAAAATCCATTACTAGCCTGGCTGTAATGCAAAGTTCTGCTGTGCACCCCAGCCCACAGGCCTGCCCAGCCTCTCAAACAACTCTGAAAGGGTATTAAATAATGTGGCACAGCCAGTCCTTAATGTCCCTGCTGAGCTTTCCACAGGGAGCTGATGGAACACTGCATGTGACAAGGACACTCATCTGCTCTGCAACAACCACATTATTTATGGTAATCGCTGGACAGGGCTGGGCACAAATCATTTTCTTAAACATTTAATACTTTATGGCCTGATATCAGCCTCTACACTGGCCTCCAGAACTGGTGTTTAAATGAAAAAAGCTTTTCCTACAGTCTCCATTCCTAGAAATTGATGACCAGCTTCCTGTTCCCACAGCACAACCCTGCTTCCAGAAATGGCAGAAATGTGCTCCTGCCCAGAGAGGGTGGTGGGAGAAGTTCCTCCCCTCCCTGCCAGCAGCACTGTGGAATAAAGATGCTGAAGAGAAAACTCCAACCAAGCCTTGCTGGGAAAACCCTGGTGCAGTCCAGAAGGGTTTTGCCTGTGTAGATTTATAACCTCTATCCCCTTTTGATCTTGGTGTACAACTAAAAAAAGCCTTTCCGTATCAGTCCCTAAATCTCCTGTCACTGAGGAGTGGCCTGTCCATTGTCCTGCTCCTCACAGGGAGAGCTCCCCTCCTTTGAAAAGAGTTTTTTACCTTCTGAGAGCACTGAAATAGGTCTCAATGCCAGGATGGAGTTAAATCCAAATTTCGCACTTCAGCCAGCCTAGGATGGGACTCGTTGGTCTCCATTTGTGTCCAGCTCGAAAGGACTCAGAGGAATAAAGACGTTTGTGCAAATGGAATAAAAGATTTGGCGTGAGATGGGGTGAGGAAAGCGAAGCTGGGAAAGAATCCCGAAGCAAGGCAAAAGTGCCCTGGGATGAACTGCCCTGATGGAGAGTCGAGCAAACCTGCTGGAGACCAGGACTGGGGGAAAAGGAGTGGAGGAAACACAGCTGGCAAAGCCACTTCCCTCTGCGAGCACAGGAACGATCCCTCAGGGCATTTCTGATCCTCTGCTCCCCCCGGCTCCCAGCAGAGCACAGACCCCTCACCACAGTTTCCTCAGCTGCAGAAAGCGCTTGTGCTACAAAAATAGAGTTATTGCCTGACAGCTTGTGGCCAGGGGTGTGATTAAACTGAAACTGAAAAATCTGACCTGCTTCTGTAGCTGCTGCCGTGCCGCTGCCCCTCCATCCCGGGAAAACCCCGAGCGAAAGGGTGAAAAGACACCACAGCATTTTCCGGAGCCAGGGTGGCTCTGTGAGCCCGGCTGGGAGGGTCAGAAACAGGGTCAGGGATGCTGGAAACAACCTGTCCCTGTCCCTGTCCCCGTCCCTGCTGTCCGCTCCCGCTACATCCCCCGGAATTTCCAGGCGCCGCGCTCGCATGACACACAGCCACGCTTCTCCACCTCTGCCCGATGACTAATTAATATTTGCTCAACCTCTGCGAGGTCTCAGATGCAAGGTGCCAGAACAGGGTGAAAGGGTTTTCTCTTTTTTGAAGCTGTTTCAGGGTGAGTTCATTGCTCGGGCGCGGGAGATGCCGGGGCCGAGCAGAGCCCGGGGAATTTGGGAGTTCAGCTGAGGTCCCTGCCTCACCTGCCCTGCTTCCCCACAGCCTCTGCCCCCGCCAGGCCCTGGAGATGCCCTGCACTCCCGGGGGGCTCCATCCATGTCTTATTGCCAGGGAAGGACAACCGAGACACGGAGGAGACTGAGATGAACAAGCTCGGGTGGTTCACAATGCAAAGCCCGGGGTTTGGTGCAGATTAAGGGAGCTGCTGCACCAGCCCACTGGAGAGGTGCCTGTAACTTCTGTTCCATACAGTTTTCCCCATTTTAATACAATTCCTATTAATTAGAAGGAAAACAATTCATGACTTGGATGCTGCACTTGGATGAGACTGAACTGTAAAACTCTAAAATCTGCCGTGTGAATCTTTCTGCTCTCCTTTCTCCTTTCACAGTAGGAAAGAGGAGAAAGAGTGGCTGCCCCTCTATTTAATCACCTGGGAGATGCCTGGACACGGCAATAAAGGGGCTGTATAAATACCTGCACCGATGAGCCACAGCCATCCCAAACACAGCCTTGCATCACTGCAGGCCTGCCCGAGAAACCTCTGACCCTCCCAAGGCAAACATCCTCAAGAAACTGAACTTCCAGGTGTATTCCGAAGCAAGAAGTAGGACACTGATCCCATTCCTGCAGCGAGCTACTGACAAACCTCTGGTATTTCCATCACCTGTCAGCAGCAAAACTTTTGGGGCAGCACTAGAGATTGGAAGCTCCTGCACAATAAGAGCAGGAAGATCAGACCCGGGCTGCCAGAAATAGTGGCTGCCTGCTCCCACTCCAGCTCTTACCTCAGTGGGATCTTAATAGCCAGGTACCTGTCGATGGCCACGGCCAGCAGGCTGAAAATGGAGCTTTGGGTCAGCACCAGCACGAAACAGGCGAAGAAGAGGCAGCTGTGAAAATCCACCTGGAAGCCGATGCTGATGGTGATGGCGAAAGGAATGGCCAACAATCCCACGGCGATATCGGCCACGGCCAGCGACACCAAGAAATAGTTGGTGGCGTTCTTCAAGGTGCTGTTGATGGCCACAGCCCAGCAGACCAGCACGTTGCCAGCGATGGAGAGCACGGCGATGATGAGCTCCAGCACGATGTAGGTGGTTTTCATAGTGTCCATGGCGAGCGCCCCGCGCCGGGAGCAGGCGCTGCTCATGGGAAGAAGGGACTTTCCACGGGGCGCCCTCCCGCAGGTACCAACACGCCACGGGGCAGCCGAACGCCCATGGCCGGGCTCCCCGCGGCCCTGGGGGGCCGGAGGGGCGCGGCGAGCCCCGGGTCGCGGCCCCCCGCTGCCCGCACCGCCCGGCCCCCGCCCGGCATCCGCGGGTCCCGCTCAGCGCCCGCCCGCCGCCACCCGCGGGGCCATCGGGGCCGGCCCGACCGGGGCTGCTCCGCCCGGGATGCTCCGCCCGGGGATGCTCCGCCGCTGCCGCCCGCTCCCCGCGGAAAAGCCGCTGCCGGCGGCGGCGGGGCTATTTCTGCTCACGGGGCGAGCGGGGCGGGGAGTGCGCGGCGCGGAGCCATTGGCCGGGACCCGGCGGCACCGGCACCGCGCCCCCGCAGCGCCCGGCCCCGCTCCCGCACCCCCGCTCCCGGCACGGCTCCCCCGAGGTTTTGGGCACCGCCTTGCACAATTCGGAATAAAAAGTTGCCCTCGCTGTCCCCAAACTCGAGGACTCCGGATGCTGCTGCTGCTCCGGGACAGAGGAGTTGCCGCACCGAAAATAAAATTTGCCACCAGCAGAGCGCTGACCCAAAGTAGGAGATTTCACAAAATCCTGGCAGCGCTCGGTCTCTGTATAGTTGTGGCACAGCGGGGTATTTCCTGATGTAAGAAATGGCAAAATACCACGGATTAGCAAATGCTGTTACTCACAGGGCTGAAGTGGTTGAGTTTCAGTCTAAGAAGCTTAAAAAAAAAGTTAGACCTGAAGGGGTTGTCTGCTCTGGTGGATCTTAAACCAGCAGGGAAGGTGAAGGCAATTTAATAACTGGTTACTTTTTCATCGTAGGTTTCATACCTTATATTGTGTTCACCATCAAAACACAGAACAGAGATTGAACTTCACACCACTGCTGAAGCATCCAGCAGCACTGAATAGCCCAGGGTAGAAAGTGGAAAAAAATCCAAACAATTAAAGAAAAGAAACCTTCCTGTAGCAAACAGAAAGTAAAAGATATTGCCATTGATTTCCTTCTTTTTTTAAAACAAAGTTGTAAACTACATCCTGTGGAAGGGAATGTTTTCTGAGGATCCAGAGCTAAATCTGAGCAAAAAACATGGAAAAATAGGATTGAAATGATTCCTTTGGGTGTAGTGCAAATGGAAACACTCCTGCTGACCAGCAATGCTTTGGGTCAGACAGATACAAAGGGGAACTCTTAATTTATATTGAACAAAGTCATTTTTATCAAGTTGGACATCTCAGGATGCTGGCAGAAAGCTGTGCCGGGGGTACATTTCATTTGATGGGGGCACACAGAAGGATCTGCACACAGGAGCAGCGCTGCCCTTTGCACTCCAGGCACTCTGCTGCCACAGGGAAGAACCAATCCCATGATGGCATTAATGGGGAAGCCCTTAAATCCCGGGACTCAAACCTCAGTTTTTGCCTGAAGTGCCCTGAAAGGAGCAGTGGAGTTCGAGGTGAGCTCAAGGTTCACAGCCCCAGGTCTGGCTGCTCCATCAGCACTGGCTGGATCCTGAACTTGCCCACACTGGTTTATTTATTATTTTGGGATGAGTGCAGCTTCCCTCGTGCAGAGCCTGTTATAACCATGTGAACTATCACAGAGAAGCACTTTTCCCCCCAAAGGGATGGATTTACATCAGGGTTTTCACACACATTGGTTTCCTAGTGCAGGAACATGCGCCAGCAGCCACCTTCTGCTGCTTTACAGCACCTCAGCAAAAGCAGAATTAACTTTCTGCAGTGGACACACTTTATTAGAGAAAAATCTGCTTTTGTGATCATGGAAGCACTTATTACAGACTGAGCTCAGGGAAATTGTGGTTTGTCAAGTCAGACATGAACAGAGAAACCATTATTTCAGGTTCTGATGAATAGGTTGTTTGGGCAAGGTCTCTGTGAGACAGGTAGTGAGGCAGTGAATATTGTGGATTTTGCATTACAGGGAGATTCATGGCTCTCCAAAGCAGCAGAACCTGTGCCAAGGTCCAGTGGTTTATTCTGGCAGTAACTGGTGCAACTGAGCTGACTCCCAATACAACTCCTGCAAGGGGAGCCAAGGACAAGTGTGCTCAGCTCTGTTCTACCAAACGTGGTTAAATCCTGCTGGCAGGAAAACCAGGATGAGCCCATTCCCAGATCCTACCCTCCAGCTGTGCTCTTTGAGCCCTCTTGGAATATCTGGCATCACACTCCCTCCAGGAAATACCAAGTGAACCTGCTGCCCTGTGGAGAACGACCTGAGCACTGCGAAACCCCGCAGCTCCCGGGGCTCGGGGGATCCACAGGCGAGAGGCTGCAAATTTATCTTCTGGAATCTGTAAAGGAGCAAGGAAATCACAGAACCGTCGAGGTAAATACAGCCCAGAGCCGGCAGCCTGATAGGTAAGAATCCATTCAAGAATTGGAGCACAACAGCACCATGGCAGGACCGGAGCCCTGCTGGATGCTCAGATGTCAGACCCAGATGAATCACCACTACTATTATTTTCCTGGATTCCACTTCCCTCCAGGGATTCGCCTCCCAACACTCACGTAGGGAACAGCAGCAGCCCCGATCTGCTGCTTTCAAGTGCAAGAACTGCCCCGGCTCCTTTGTTCCGAGGGAAGCCGATTGAAAGGGATCCCACGTTGCGAACGGAGCTGCGCTGGGAGAAGGGAGCGGCGCCCTGGAGCGGCCGCAGCCGCTGTCCCCGCGCCTTGGCAGGAGCCCTCCGGCCTCGTACGTGCTGTTCCTTCTGTCGCTGAGTCCCGGGGGAGCGGAGCTGCCGCTTCGGAGGCCGAGCTCTTCCTGCAGCCCCTGTGATCTCTCCTGAGCAGGCTCCGGCTGCTCCGAGGACTTCCCGAGCGAGCTGTGCCTTCACACCTCCAGCGCTCTTGGCCCGGCCACAAAGAGCTGGAGAAGAGCCCCAGTAACACATCCCTGCACACACAGCCAGCCAGGGCCCGGCCAGCCACGGACAAGGTCTGAGCACGAAGAAACCTCCCGAGCCAGTGAGAGACGAGATGTTCTTGCTGGTCCCGCAGCCAGATTTGCCAGCTCAGACACTCCTCAGCAGCCTCAACAATAAATTTTCCTCTCTAAGCCCACTGAGTTAAAGAACAAGAACTGAAGTGGGAGAATCTGCTGCAAAGCAACACAGATATTATCTGGCTATCAAAAATAAAGGTGGATGCCATACAAGAAGTCAATCTGCCCTGCTGCTTCAGGCACATCATCATATTGGCTTTGGCAGCCCTGCATGGACCTGTGAGTGCGGCAGTGGTGGGCAGAGCTGCCTCTGGAGTGGTGCAGGGCATCAGCCCAGCACTGGGGGTGATCCTTTGCAAGCAGAGGAGCTGCCATCCATCCCCTCCCGTGGAGGGCAGCTCCACCCCAGAACTGCCCGCGACACGGGGGAATGGGAAATCAGGAGGGACAGAGGCAGTGCCACCAGCCTGGCAGCGCTGGCACTGCCTCCCGAGCCCCATCCCCACTCAAGCCTCCACTGGTACTTCTGAGCTGTTTTCTTGGACAAGACACAGCCCGTCCTGAGCCCGACTCCAAGAAAGGATTCCCAAGACACAACGCAACCCCTAAACCACAGAGCAGGTACAAAAACCGCCTTTGAAATGGTGCTGCCAGCGACAGGCCGAACTGCTCGGTCTGCCCGAGCCAGGTGAAAGGAATGGATGGGTTTGGATGACTTGCAGGCACCTCTGCATGTTTATTGCCCACATTGTGTTGAGCATTAGCACATCAAAGGCTCCTGATGAGCCCTGAATTAAATTATGAGGAGAGGAATGGCCCAGGGTGAGGTTGGTAACTGTAGGGCTGCAGGCATTTTGCTGGAAGAGATGGAAAACAAAGAGTGAAATTCCAGGGAAAGCTATTTCCATACTGGAGATTTCAATCATTCGGCAAAACCCTTGGAAAACCAAACAGAAAAACTTAAGATCGTAAACGGTGGATGAACAAACTTGGATTTTCCTAGTCCCCAGGGTCATTGCCAGATAATAAGCCGGTATTATCCTGGAATCTCAAACCGGTGCTTTAAATTATCTGCAAGAACTCATCTCACAACAATGCAGGTGTGTGAATTCTTTAGAAATTGTTTCATTAGAAAACAAAGAAGTCACCACGGGACTTAAAAAAAAAAAAACCAAAAACCATAAACGGCTCCACCAAAGCAGTTGAATTAAAAAGGAAGGATTTTGGCTGAGCAGAGTCCAAGGTATGAGAACATCATTTTGAAGAAGCTTTTCTTTTTTTTTTTCCTCTGTGTTTGGTTTTGTGTACTAACCAGCTTCTGGGGTGGAAAGCCAAGTGCCTCTTCCAGCAGGATTTGTGAAGCAAAGCTGCTGCTCAAGCCCAGCAGTGCTGAGCCCTGCACGGGGCTCCCAGCAGGTACTGGGCCCAGTGTCTCCTTTATGCTGGTGGAGCTGGTGCAGCCAATCTCCCCGAGAAATCGATGGGAAGCGTTGTGTTTCCAGGCCAACACCAGCTCCGTAGAAGCTGGACAGGCACTGATGCCCTTTGCAATTCAAACAACCTGTGATTGCTTCATTCAGAGCTGAGCTGCTTCCTGGGCAGAACCTCCACGAGTTCAAACGCCCAGAACTTGCGGAGTGTCCTCTTCACTCCCAATCAGCTCTTCACAGCAAAAGGAGAAGTGGTTCTGCTCCCTGACATCAGGGAAATGAGTCCTCAGCCCCAGCCTTTAAAGCAATTCAGGTTCATGTACAGATGTGACATTTGGAGCTCCAAATGAATGCAGTGAAAGTCTTGAACGGGTGCAACACAACTGCTCTGAATATGGAATTATGCTCAAATACTAGAGAAAAGCAAGATTTAGTTCAAAACCCTCAGCTGGCTTTCTCTGTGCAAGATGAGCTCATGATTTATAAGTATCTGTTATTATTATTATTGAGATTATCTGTAGCTGTCAGAGGACTCAGAAACCTCTGGTGTTCCAGGTCCCAGCCAGAGCTCTGAAAACCACTTTTGATCCCCAAAAATCAGGCTCCTTTCACAGGCAGGGCCAGGCAGGTCACCCAGGGGTTAAAGAGCAGCTTAGCTGTGGTGAAGGGAAACTGTAGAATACACACAAAAATACAAATGAGCAAATGCAGGGGCAGGACCAACCTTCCTGTGCACAGGCAGCTGCCAGCAAACACTGAACCTGCACTCAAAGGCTGTCTGAACCCCAAGGTCGTTATTGCACAGCCCCTGCTGGATTGCTCCATCAGAGATGAGGGTTTTGTTTCATCCACACTCCAC